CAAAGTGTCTCATGTACAGTGTATGACTGATATTTATTTCATTTGCTTGTCTAGGATCCCTGCACCTATCAAGTGACTTGGCCCCATGGTAAAACTAAGCTTTTTAATGGTAGCTCTTTCTCCAAAAAGGGTAAAGCTCTTCAGCATCTTTTCACCTCTATGACATTCATATTCTATCAATAAGAAAACTCTTTCAATCCTGTATCCCTTATATTCTGAGCCTACTTATGTCACCAGATCACCAGGTTTACCTTTAAGAATCATGGAGTTCCCAAATATGCTTTTCTTAAAAATGTGAGCATGTTCTACGTCTGTGAATGTCACTTCCTTAAGATCAGCACCTTTTAAATTGTTCAACATCATAGCACATTTACAGAATGAATGGTCCCTTTAGTTGAAACACATCATCTGTAGCTTTTCTTTTTAAGACAGTATTGTGATCTAAATATGTGTCTCGCTCCCTAAAATTCATATTTTGAAACTTTATCCCCAATGTGATTGCATAAACAAGTGAAGGCTTTAGGAGGTGATTATGGAGAAGCATTTGGGATTTAGACGTGTTAGTGACAATACAGTGAAGGTGGAACCAATCATGAATGGGATCAGGGCTGAAGGACCTAGTTTTCCCCTCCCACCAAGAGAAGATGCAGTTACCTTCTATGAAACAAAAGATAATGGCCTTTACGAGACACAGAATTTGTTGATGTCTTGACCTTGGACTACGAGAAATAAATTTATTTTATAAGCTTTTGCCTCCAAGGTATTTTGTGTATTTTGTTACAATAGCCTAAAATATGAACACATTATTTTTTATCCCAACAATTTATAATGAATCAGTACTTACCTGCCCTGATCAATGGTCAATTGGTATTATTCTAAGATCCGCTAATATCTACTGGTATTGATTTACAGCAAAGTTGTGGATAATTACTTCCATTTTTATTAATGAGATAATAGATTCGGAGGTATAAAGGTCAAACCAGATTTAAAACTCATCTTGACCAGACCTCAATGCCTGTGCTCAACCACCATACTGTCTCTTACAGCTCTGAAATCAAAATGATTGTCCAGTAACTTGCCTGTTCTCTAAATGGTCTTTCTGATGCCATGCTGAGTAACCTAAGGTCCTCTCGGCATCTCCATTTGTGTCACATATTTATGACAGTGGCCTAGTATAATATAAAGGATGGAAGGAAGGAAGGGAGGAAGGAAGGAAGGAGGAAAGGAAACAAAAGGAAAGAGAAACAGAAAAAGAAATATAGGTCGGGGGGAACCACTGAGGAATCCAAAGTCACTCTCATTCTCCACCAAATTGCTGCAATAACGTAATTCCAACAGAGGAGTTCTTTGTACCCTTAGCCAGCTGCCAGGTATTATAAACTAAGGGTCATTTACTTCTCTACTTAGAACACTGCTGCCACTTAAGTTTGCAGGTAACTTTTCAAAACCAAAATTAATATGGAAACTGGAGGAATTAGGTATCAAAACCCATAGATTTTAACTTAAACTCTCTGTTTCAACCTTGTTCTTTATTCAAGAAAAAAAAATACTGATTTTTCCTAAAGACACATCTTCCATACTTGTAGGAGATCCAAGCCTAACAAATCCTTTTAGTACTGATCTTAAAATATTATCAGGCAAAAGCTTGAAAGGTCAAGAATACAGAAGAAATTACTAAAATCTTAGATTTTGGGTGAGCTTTTAAAAACAACTGCTCCCATTCTCAAAACAAGGCCCTTTCCATCATTACTAAGACAGTTTTCTAGCATTAAAAAAAATCCAGATGCAGGGGATCCTGTCACCTCCCAAGACAGTGCATATAATTTGCTGGTCAACAACTGTTAGAACGTTCTTAACTTCTGTTGAGATGAGGGTTATCTCTTGCAGTTCTAACCTGGCCTAGAAAGAACATTACTTCTTTTGATCATGAAATACATTCAGTAGTACAATGTGGACATCATCCTCCTTCCCCTGGTACTCCCAAGTCTTCTCTGAAGTCAAGTAGAAGGTTCTGGACTATTTCTTGGAAAAGGATGCATCTGGGAGGTAGGGTGGGAGCAGACTTCAGGAAATAAACCTGAGAGGTCATTACTTGGACAAACCTGGAAGGAGCTGAAAGTAATCACATGTCTTTCACTATGGTTTGTATGGAAAAGCAGCTCAATGGCCCCAAAAGGTGTGTCAGTCCAAAGACAGATGTCCCAGGAGGAGACTTTCATGAGCCCTGTAGTGATGAGACAAATGGTGTTCAGAGGAATCACCGTGCCGATAAGGATAATGCTTCTCCTGCAAACGCATGCACTTAAACTCTTCCTGTGCTTTTCTGGTCTTCCATGCATAAATGTTTAATTTTCCATTTTGCCACCAATCAGCTGGCTGCCCAGGGACGAGAGTCAGTGGATAAAAGCGGCCCAGTGTGGTCTGCCCAGACCTCCAGAAGCACTCAAGGCACCCGAGAGCTTCTAAAGAGCTGATGTCAGGATGGGGCCCTTGATTAATGTTTCCCTGGGACACTCTGACACCCTTGTACTGATAGGAGAGATAAGAGCCTGGCTAAGGCTGCCAGAAAGCCCTGCTTGAGAGGAATGAGGTCAAGGTCAGAAACATCAGGACATCTGCCCAGAAGCATGAGGCCTGGTTTCCTCTGGGGGCAGCGTGTTGGCCTGCAAAGGCCAGGCAGAGAGCAAAAGATCGTTTTGTAGTACTGGAAGACAAACAAGAGATAAGACAGATGGTGTGAAAGGGGAGGCTGGAGACCAGAGGAAGAATCCACAGATAACAGACTGAACGCATCTGGGGATTTGCTGTGGAATGTATGACTTCATTTATCAGCGGAAGGACTGGCTTGTGTCGCCAGCCTCTGGGTCTGCCTACTTGGGAAGGGGGTGGTGTGCTGTACACAGCAGCACCGCAAATCACAGGGCTTTTTGATATGTTGCAGTTCTAAGTTTAATAACTGGCAACAATAGTCTCTATGTCAGTTCCTCACTAAGGAAGTTTCTCTGGACTCTCAAAGAGTGTTCCTCAAGCCAGGTACTGCACTGTCACGGACCAGCTCAGGTACAAGCTACTCCCAAAGAAGAATGCCTCCTGGATGTCACTTCCTGACTGTCTCTCTAATCAGAAGCCTTCTCTTCACACCTTGGCCTGGGCTTGGTCAATTTCAGCTACTGTGATCAAAAAGGGCTTCTGACTGGCCTGCTATCCTCAGAGCTAAGTCTCTGCAATCAGTGATCCTCAGAAGTGAGCCAATGCACCTTGGGAGGGAGGGAGGAGAGAAGTCAGGAAGCATTCAGTGAGTATTCTAGAAGATTCGTATGAACCTGTGCTTGTTTGTTTGTTTAAACACACTCAAGTGCACACACACTTGTATATAAGGACAGAGTGTGTTTATAGGCATACCTATGTGTTGATTAGGATATATAGAGGCATTAAGTCCCATCATCTATCTGTTCACCTATCTCTCCTATTACTCTGATGCACCAAATGACTTTAGATGCTTCTCCTTGTCATTCTGGATATCCATCTATAAAAAGACATCATAGAATTTCTTAAAGGTCCCTCCTAAGTGTCACCTTCTCAGAACTTTTGCCTAACTGAGATTACTTATTTGTCAGAGGAGAAAATGTTGACCCTTAACTATATTGTCAGCGGCCTGGAACTATAATCAATGTTTCTTCATTCATTCATTCTCCCTTCAGTCATTATTTATTTACACGTTAGGCACTGGGTGAGATATTAAAGTTCAAATGATCAAAGTGGTTTCTGCCCTAAGGGGTTCCCAGTTTATTGGAAGATACAGGCAAGTAGATGAGCAAACTTCAACACAACAGGATAGTTTATATAGCACAGGGATGCTCAGGATACTTAAAACTCCCCCTAAAAAAAAAAAAAAAAAAAAAAAAAAAAAAAACAGACCTAGAACATACTTTCTTATGTATGGAAAATGAAATAAGAAAGACAAAGATTGATTGATGGATTTTGGAAGTTTGTTTGTTTGTTTAAGAAAATAAGTTGTAGCAGCAGGTAGTTTAAACCAAACAACTAAATGTGCTTTGATCCTGATTTTTTAATTTGTTCCTCTTAGTTCTACATGACAGTAGAATATATTTTGACATACTTATACAAACATAGAGTATGTCTTATTCTAACTAGGATCCCAGTCTTGTACATGATGTAGAGATTCACCAAGGCATGTTCATATATGTATATAGGAGAGTTATATCAAAATCAGTGAAAACTGTCTTCTTAGTCCTGTCCTTTTGAATTTTTTTTTTAATTTTGGCTGAGTGGGCACCATCTCAGCTAGACCACCTGGAAAGATGGGACAGAGGGAAACAGTTCTAGTCAAACTTGTGAAAGTGGCTAAGCAGCTGTGCTTTGAGTGTTCTGAGCCCCCTGTCCAATGGTGCAGATTTGGTAAGAAACCCTATTTAAAGCATACCACGAGATACTATAAAGCTCAAAGGGGGAAAGTGTCAGATGTGCTACTCTGCCATCCATTCCCCATAGAGTGGACAGGTAAGGCCCATTTCTAAAGGATTCTATTGGACAAGCCACTAAAGCAACATAGAGCCCAGCCCTAAACCATCCTGTCATCTGCTACTTCTGGCCTCAGATGTCCCTGCTCCCATCCACAAGGAGTAAGAGGATAGGAAGGCAGGTGCTCTCTGACACTAAATTGAAGATACCAGTCAATTCCTGATGGAGCCCCTAACCTGCTACGGTTTGGTGTGAAGGGACAGTTAAAGGCAGATAGAATCAGAGTCATATTCAGAACACAGAGCTGAGCTCCAAGCTCAGTTTCATGATGCTTAAATGTTGACTGCAATATGCCACTCTCACCAACCCATTGCAAAGATGAAATAGTGATGTATATAAAACCCATATTACACACTGCAAAGTGTGTGAAAGTAAGCAATAGCCAACTGTCCTTCCAGCAGAATGATGTGTTCCCCTGTGCGATTTAAGTGCTCCTGAGGATGTTCTTTTGGACTCACCCTTGTTGGATCCTGCAGTCCTGGTCTCATTCTCATCTGACTTATCTGGTCCAGCTGAAGCAGGAGACAGCTCAGTCCTCCCATCTTAGTTGCTCCTCCCCTCCAAGTGGGAGCAGCTAAGCCAGGAGGAATCCTGATCCCAGGGGAGCTCTGAAGGAGCTGAGTCAGTGCCCACACAGCTACCAGACAGGAAATGCATCAGACAGGCTTTCTCTTCCCAAGGGAACCTGGCTCACCAGCAGCACTGAGTGGAAGGGTCCACACCCAGCTGAGGATAAGACAATTGGCTGTCCCGGGCTTCCTTGCTGCTTCGCTGTGAGTTTCAAACAATCGCCACTTCTTCTGAAGGTACAACTGAGAGCCTTTGGTTCTTATCATCATCGTGAGCACAAAGCCTGAGATCCCGGTAACAACACAGAGACAGAAGTGAGCAATGAAGCAACATGATCCGGTTGGGAGAAGCACATTCTCTGAGCATGAAAGAAAAAAAAAAACACTAGTCAACAATCCCTTTAAATCTCAGCGTCCCTGAAAATCACGAAAATTAATGGCAGATATGATTTGGTTCTGAAATTGGCAAGTAAGAGTGAGAGAATACATGAATAAGGGACATGGTACCCAGTGCTGGTGAGAGTGTGAATGAACAGACACTCGCATATACTACCTAGGAGCAAAAAGGACATGACTTAACCAGTAATGATACTATGGTTTAGATGTGAGGTGTCCCCCAAAAGCTCATGTGTGAGACAATGCAGGAGAGTTCAGAGGTGAAATGATTGGATTATGAAAGCATTACCCTAATCATTGCATCAATCCAATTGAATGAATTAACTGGGTGGTAATTATACGTAGGTAGGATGTAGCTGAAGGATGTAGGTCTTTGAGGGTGTGCTTTTGGGGTGATTATTTCGTCTCTGGTGAGTGAGCATTCTCTCTCTGCCTCCTGGTGCTGTGTTCTGAGCTGTTTTCCTCTGCCGTGCCCTTATACCAGGATGTTCTTCTGCACCTCTGGCCCAGAGCAATAATCTGCCATCTGTGGATGGAGACCTCTGAAACTGTGAGCACCAAATAAACATTTTCTCCTCTTAAATTACTTTTGTTGGGTCTTTTGAGCACAACAGTGAAAAAAGATGACTAAAACAACTAACATTTTGTAAAAACTTAAAAATATATTAATATGTATTATTAAGCAGAAAATCAGACTATAAAACATGTACAATCTGTCCTATGGAGAGCAAATATATATATTTGTATATCTGCATAATAAAATTATCTAATTATATAACAAAAATGTACCTCATACTTCATTCAGGATGATGTAAAGCCATAGGTGATTTTTAATGCTTTTTAATATTAGAAATAGAGGTATTACACAACAGAAACAAAACATAACTCTTAAAAAAGAAGAAAGCTCATTTTAATAGTTGATCTAACGGAAAAGGAGAATAAAACAGTGGTTACTACAGGGTGAGGGGAGAGGGGAAGAGAGGGATGGGGGAAGACTTATGAATGGGTACTAAGTTACAATAAAATAAGAACAAGAAATTCTGTTGTGTTATTGCACAGTAGGGTGACTAGAGATAACAATAATATGCTGTATATTTCATAAAGATAGAAGAAAGAATTTTGAATGTTTTCATCATAAATGATAAATGTTTTATGAGAGAGATACATTTAACCTGTTTAGAACATTATATAATGTATACGTGTATTGACACTTCACATGGTATCACATTTATATGTCTAAAGTTTTAGTTTGTATGTATTCTGAAAATTTTAAAAAAGAACATTTTGTTAAGAAAAGAGGTAACTGAAAATAAACATTTGTTTACCTGCTACAACAGGCCAGAGATTATGCTAAAGAATTTGCATGCATCATCTTAGTTGAGCCTGACAGCCTCTGTGAGGGCAGGTATGATTAAATATTATTATTATTATTATTTGTATGTAACCCAGACAATTTTATTATCCCTTCCCACACATTTAAAAAATTAAGAATTAAAAAATCTACCAACCAACTAAAAAGAATTCAAGTGATTTATTGGAGTTTCTTATTAATGTGGAAAATAAAAATACAGATGGTGATGAGGAAAACATATTCCTAAAACTTTATAGATAGCATAATCTTAATTGTGTAAAATACCCATATGAACTCATACAGAAGAGATCAAAGAATTAAAAATTCCACCAAAAAATTTATAGGTGTCTCTTTCAGCTGTGAGTTGGAGTGTTTCATTCCTGTTCTTTTGAAACACCAAAATTGACACTCTAATAAGATATTACAAATTTATATTATATATTATTATTTTATAATATAATTTTATAAACTTATAATAAACTATAGTTTTAAATTTAAGAGTGTAAATATACAAGTATATAAATAAACACAAAAGTAAATATTTGCTCTTATTCTATTTTACTGGGACCTAAGTTAGTCTTGTTTTGGGGTCTATTTTTGTTCAGGGAGAAGGAAAGGAGGGGGGGGTCATATTCTATATACCTGAGATTCTAGAAGAAACTTATTGATATTTCAAATGCATTTTTGATATAAGCCTGTCAATCTTGGCTGCACATTAGAATCACTTGGGTGCTTTTAGAAGGTATTAAAGGCTGGGTTTCATCTCCAAGAAATTCCTATTTTATTGGTTGAGGCTTGCATCTACCGCAGTCATCAGGATTTTGTTTCACCTCTCCTAGTTGATACTACTATGTAGCCAGGGCTGAAAATACTTAGGTTATAGCATTTAAATGCCAAAGCCTGTCTCCAGAAACCAAAGCCAACATCTCTGAGAGTAGGTGCTATCAATAAATGCCTCCCCTGGAGTACACCCCATGCAAATACATTCCAGGCCTGGAGCTAATCCTACTTCCAAATGTAGCAATATTCTTTCTTTGTCTCCACTCCCTCCCCTATTTTCCTTTATACATTTCAAACCATGCTCCAAAGAACATCTGGGGCTTTTTGAATTTTAATCCATTGACTATCTTCCTTGATATTAATTTTTTTGATTAGAGCTTCAAAGGATTGAATATTTTTATGACTCTTGATGGTTCCTATATTACTTTCCAAAAGGCTCCTACTGCTTTTCATTATCCCTGATACGTAACAATTTACTTCATTAAATTATTCCATTTTTCTGACTTTGGTGACTATAGCAGGTATAAATATTCTATCTACTTCTTCATTTATGATCGCTACCTATTCTCCCTTACTTGGAAAAATTACTTTACAAATGTATCTATTATCATCTGCAATAATATTATTATGAATACATATAAATCCTATAAATAACTTAGACATGATCACTTTAATGAAAACTTTAAGCATTTTTCCTGTCTGCTTTTTTTATTGTTTTTGTTCCTCTTTACTATGAAGATAGATTTCATGTAATGAAAGATAAAACGGTTGAATTTAAAAATTTATCACTTCAAAACTTGTAAGTATTTTTTCTTCCAATGATCTCATAAAGTGTTAATTCTATTTTGATATGTGAGTGTGTATATAAGTTTTTTATCCAACAAGGATTTATACCAGTTTGTAGATGCAAAGGAGCTACTGAAATTTTCACTCTTCAAAGATTAGGTAATTTTGCAAAAACTGTTTATACACTGGCCCCTTCCCTTCAAGTCACATGAGCAAGTGCACATACAGGTTTTCCCTTCTGTCTCATTGATCCACCTGTCTAGTTTTGTGCAAGTAACATGCTGAGTTAAATCCTGCTGCCACATAATATCGTTTTATATCCAAAAGAGCTGGCATTCCCTAATTCTTTAAGATATTATTTGACATATGCTCAAATATATTTTATAAAATTCTAATTTATTGCATGATATTTCCTTTTGATCTTTTGCTAAGGATTAAATAAAATGTGTAAATTAATTTGTAAACCAAAAATATTTTAATCATATTTTTGGATGCATTGAAATTTCCTAATACTCACAGCCATCTCTTACGGATCAAAGCAAAGGACAATGACCCCATTTCTCTCTTCTCAGGACCTAATTCTTTTACTTTCCTTTTAGCAATAAGTTTCTTGCCAATCACAGGTCCAGGTTTGAGAATTATGAGAAGATCCTAAGATTTTTATTTCTACTTCCTGACAGTGGCACTAAGTACCCAGAAAAATAGCAAATCAATGTCCAGCATTGAATTTAGACTTCACCTTCAAACAAAGCAAGAAGCGCCATGCTGAATTTGGGTGCACAGTCTGGCCTTGGGAACAAGAAAAGGACCAAGGTGATTATTTAGGGCTGTCATGTTGGGCATCCAGACTTTAACCCTGTTCAGTAAAAAAATATTGCTTTTAAATGTATCATATCACCACTGTAAGCATGCATACTTATTTAAAATTTCTCTTCCCTCAGCCATTTCAAGTGGATATCGTTGAGCTTGATATGTGCATAAATTTTACCCAGAACTCTAGCCTCAGTGCTGCTTATATAAGAGATAATCGGTTCAAGAAGAGAATTAACTTCAACTGAACTCCTAGTGCAGGGGAGGTACCTTGTCACACTCAACCCCTGGGCACATTCTGTGAGGGAGGGATGTTTCTAAATCCCCCTTTAAAATCCCCATATTTTAAATGATGAAATTATATTTCAGACTTTGGGGATTGAAGTTGGCCTTATAGGACACTCAAGTCACTGCCTTGACTATTGGCACCTTTTGTATCTTGATAATGTTCCAGAGAGATCTGTCAGAACACACGTCTGAACCCCTTTGAAGATGCAAAGCTCAGGTCTCTTCTTTCAACTCTTCTTTCAACTGTGTCTGGGTTTATTATCAGATGCCTCTTGTCTGACCAGTTAAAACAAGATAAACAAAACAGAATTCCTTTAGATCCAACTTCCTTACAATTTATGACTTTAGGGTATTACTTGAGTACTCGGAAGTCAAAGAGAAAAGGGCTTATCTCTTTACTCAACTAGTTCCAAGAATTTGGAGGGACTATCACTCCCACTCAGTGACAAGTAACACAGAGAAATTGGCATCCTCATAGTTAGGAACCCAAAGTATGGTTGTTTTTTTCAAGGAACCACATTCTTCATAACTGGGGATATCAAGAAAATCTTGTTTTTCTCTCAACTGTCAAAGCTCTTGCAGAAATATCCCTGGACCCTCAATCCAAAGGAAGCTGTACCCTCAACATCCATTTATAATAACAGTGTCACCTTTTCTATTTCTGGGAAAGTGGAGCGAAGCCAGGATTTTTAAATCCTCATTCATTGATCTCCTGTACAACCTCTCAGCTTATACTGTTTAATATCTTGTTTGATTGACCTTTGAGTTTCTGAAAGAATGGATAGGTAACTTGTCCCTTAGCAGGTTTTCCTGAAATCTCATTTCTCTTGGCTTTGCTTGAGAGAAGAGTGAGACACCAGGCCAGGCAAGGTTATGCTCTCTAATGAGGACCTGGAGTAACAGGATGGGGAAGGGGATTTGATGTCAGGAACCATCAACATCCAATCAGGACAAAATTATTTTCTGATTCCAGCTGACCATGCACTTTTCTTTGCAGCTGCAACTTCATTAAATGGAGCACTGAGTCTCCCACAAGAAAAGGTCAACATTTCCATTTGGGCATTCAAACATCTCAAGACGGGTTTGAGGCCTCAGTGTTCTATTGATTCAACCATCCCCACGCTGAGCACAGAACTTTGCACAGAATAGATGGGCGATGTCAATCAAAGCTCACCGTTGGGGTTATTTATTTTCAGCTTGACTCACAGGGCTATCAAATATTGAAGTTGAAGGGGAAGAAAGGTAATTCTACTTTAGTACATGTGTGCAAATAAAGCTTTCACAATTGATGCATTCCTGAAACTGAAATTCATGAAGAACACTTTGAATAAGAAAGTGTCTTTCTGCCTTCATTTGGCCTGGGTTTACTAAATACTCATTGACCATAAAACACAAAAATAGGGGTCTTCAGAGGAGACACTGACTCTAAAACAAACTATTGTAATTAAGTGCCAAGTGACATGGAAATATAAAGCACTGATGATCAAGAAATAGGAGGAATTTTCTTTGGAGTACAAAAGAAATTGGTTGCTTTAACACATGGAGAAAATTATGATATTTTCCTGAGAAACTGTATACACGGGTCAAAAGTTTGCTAAAATTATAATATTAATGATAGCAAAATTGAAAATAATTTTTTTATTTCTTTGAATATTTTATGGCATTAGTTGCATCTTGATAATGTTTTTTATTTAAAAAGTCTAGTTTTGTATTATACATTAAAGCTTCTCTGCTCAACAATACAAGCTATGGTATAGATGTTGTTTATTAATATTTTATGAATGCTATATTATTGCAATTTTGTTTTCCCTCAAGTTTCCTCCTTTTCATCTCCACCAGGTGCACTTTGCCCCTTGAATGGATCATATCCTTTTCCCACATACTCACTTAAAACATGTTGGTCATGCTGGGCACGGTGGTGCACACCTGTAATCCCAGCTGCTTGGGAGGCTGGGGCAAGAGGACTATAAGTTCAAAGCCAGCCTCAGCAACTTAGGGAGGCCCTAAGCAACTTAGTAAGAACCTGTCTCATAATAAAAAATAAAAAGGGCTGAAGATGTGGCTTAGCTGTTAAGTACCTCTGGGTTCAATGCCTGCTACAAAAAATAAAAATAAAAAAATAAATGGTCTTTCTGATTTTTCAAATAGTCTTGTTTCTCCAAATTTGTCTTTGAAATTCCCTTCCAAGAAAACTAGCTTTAATTTTAAAAATATGTAATAAGCAGAAAATAAGTCAAATCAACATTAAATAAAATGATCCAATCACTGTATCACCCATGATAAAAGGCTATCTATAATTTTTTTTTTAATAAAATGCCTCCCTGGCCCTCTGTAAATGTGTTCAGATCTCTCCCATCTCTTCATCTCCAGCATCTTGGTTAACTGGTCTCATAGGTTTTATATTTTACCTAAAAAAAAAAAAAAAGGATGAGGGTTCAATTACTCCCTTTTTCTTAAAAAAAAGATTTATTTATTTTATTTGTTTTGATTAGTTATACATGACAGTAGAATGCATTTATGCACTTTGATATACATGGATGGGATATAATTTCTCATTTTTCTGAGTGCACATGTTGTAGAATCATATTGGTCATGCAGTCACATATATACATACAGTAATAATGTCTGTTTCATTCTACTATCTTTCCTATCCCCACACTCCCTCCCACCCTCTCCCTTCATTTCCCTCTACCTAATCTAAGGTAGCACTATTTTTCTCTAGTGTCCCCGCCTCATTGTGAATTAGTATCTGCACATTAGAGAAACCACTCGGCCTTTAGCTTTTTTTTTTTTTTTTAATTCTATTTTCTTCAAATTTTTCTGTATAGATGGCTGTATTCTACCTTTCCTAACCCAGGATTTAATATGATTTACAGATAAATCCTGTCTTTTCATGAAAAAAATGAGTGAATCTATAAGGAACCTGAGAACACTAAAGCTATATGTGTGAAGGTACTAGAGTGGGCTCATCTTGTCCCCAGCCCATGGCTGTTCAACAGGAGCTACAGTGGTGGCAGCACCTTCCACCTTTTATGGGTTGAAAGCTGGCCATGTCTAATGTCACCAGGAGTTATTCTTGAGTCATCCCCAAGGTTGTGCTTCAAGAGCAAACCCTGACCTTTCCTGCTTCTCTTCTTTTGTTGACTTTTATTTACTCTCCCACAGCGAGTGACCATTACGTAGTCCCCATTTACCTGGTCAAAACTCTATGGTGACTCTATGCTCATCACCCTTCTGCTCTACTCTGTTTCCTTTCTTCCCGTCTTGATAGGCTCTTTCACTGAGAACCACAGAGGGCCACAGAGACCTGGTGTCTGAATGTGTATGAAAATGTGGCTGAAGATTCCTTCACAGTGGAAAGAGATACAGCATCCTGTAACTCAGGCCACAGTGACTTGGCTTTACAGAAATCAGCCAGGTGTCCTACCCTTGTTCTCTTCTACCAAAGATGACTTCTTCCCAGAATGATTCACAACTAAAGTACTCATGGCCTCTAAGAAACACTCTCCCTATTCCCAGCAACATCTACAGAAGTATGATCTGGATCAACCATCCCTCCCCTGACCCTATCAGATTCACAGACATACACAGTCTTAGAGTTTGAGTTACTCGGTCTTATATCCTTGCCCATTGAATGGAGGACCTCATCCCCATTCAAAAGCACCTGTATCAGTTCTTTTCAATTTGTCCCTATTAATGGCTTCAGAAAATGTCAAAACAAATCATTATGACAAAAAGAAAAGAAAAGCTTTCACAGTCAACTAAATTCCTAAGTTCATCTTCTCTCTGCCTCAGGATCCCCAGATCATCTTTTCTCTAACTCTCTTTCTTTTCATATTCCTATGATCTACATGCACATACATCAAACTCAGGGAATATTGTCTAAATACCTGTGATGAGCCTGGGCATGAGAGATGTCTATGGGTAGAACCAATGTTAGCAAAAAGTGGGGGGAGTGTCAGAGGACAGTTTCCAAAGGGATAGCTGTGAGGAATTCCTGATTTCCCACTTCACAGGGAATAACCTGGGAAAGCATTGTGGATGTGGTGTCATGAGGTTTGGTCTTGAATAATTGCTCACTTACTATTCAGGTACAAGCCAGGAATGTTGCCTAATTGTATATTGCTGATAAGATTTTATTTCCCTTCATTTCTTGGATGATAGCTTACAGCTCATTTCATTAATTCTTCCTAGAGATTCTGGCGTCCTCTCTCTATATCTTAGTATTTATCTTCCTAAGGACTTTCATACGCTGCATGGCAATGTAAATTGATGCAAAAGTCTTGCAAAGCAATTTAGCATTAATGGATCAAGAGTCTTAAAAGTGTTTATACAGAGTTATTATGATCCAGCAATTCCACTTCCAGAAATCTATCCAAATGAAATAACCTAAGACATGGGGGAAAATAAATATGTATAAATATATTTGAAGAAATATGTTTATCACACCATAGTTTCCCATTCTGTTGATAAGATAAAAAAAAAACTAAATAGATAATAAAAGAAATTATTAAATGATAACATATGCATATGATGAACTGTTATGCAGCTATTAAAATGGTGCTTATGGAAAATTGGTAACATAAAAATATGATATATTTTATTACATTAGGAAAAAACATGAAAGGTGTAGAATTGTGCATAGAATATGATCATGGCCATGTAGAACTTGCATACAAAATAGGCTACAGGGAAAAAAGAAGTAGACTGGAGAAAATGAGAAAGAAATGTTGACATTAGGATCATCTGGGTTGTTTTCACTCTATTTCTTCTTTATTGAATATTCAAACTACTCTTGGATGAGAAGATTTTTTTCATTGATATATAATATTTTTAATAAGTTTTGTAGAGTACATTTATTTCATATGATACTGGAGATTGAACCCAAGTCCTTGTGAATGCCAGGTAGGCATATCTTCAGCCTCTAAACTATCTTTAATCAACATTTTTTTTTCTTTTTGCCAGATGATGTCATGCAGAATCATACAGCTCAGACGTCTGCATTTGCTTTCCTTTATTATCAGACTTGAATCCTCATAAATTTCTCATGGGTGAAGCATCTTAGCCCACACATGCGACATCAGACAGAGGCCGACTCCCTGCCTCCCCCTTCATGGTTATTTCTACTCCGCCCACACACAGAGCACAGAGTCTGACCACTTTAATGTACAATAAACATATTTCTCTAATTTGTCTGAAGCTCTTGATCTGCATTCAACTAAAAAGGAAGTTCTAGTTTGTTCAATACAAACATTATTCATAATCTAATTTCCACTCCTGTTCCTATAGCCTCTCCCTTTTGGTATTTCTATGATTTGGTGGCCCATGACTGCCAAAATCAGCTCCTTTTGGAAGTTGTCAGAGTCTTGTATTATGAGTCTTCTGCTATCCCAGCAAAGTTCTGCTGCAAGATTTTCATAAACTCCTGCAAACCATCACAATGTGAGTACATTCTCCCCACTTCAGATACCCTGTCCTTCCCACTACCTACCATCCAGCATGAGACTGAGTAAAAGTAATTGAGTAGATTGTTCAAGTGCCTTCTCCACTGTTTGGACTAATGCTAAAAGCAAGTTCAAAAGTTTCTCTCTCTTTCCTTTTGGGCTCCACCCTTCCTCCCTCTGGAAGAACTCCAGTGTGGGCAATTTAATTTCATATGATTAATCAATTAACAGACATGTACCCAGTACCTGATGCATAAAAAGATAGTGTCAGTTTCATGGGGAGTTCAGGGGCAGAAAAACAGGTGTCCTTACCTTCAGAGACGGAGCAGTATAACAAGAGAGAGAGACAAGTCTGCTACCACCTAAACCAAATGCTATAAGGGTTGCAGCAAAAGGAAGGAAGAGGACTCGTATTTATTAAGCCTCTAACTTATGTTAAGAATATAAAATCTGCAACAGAAAAGAAAGCCAAAGATTTAAAAGAACTTGATAAATGATTTCATCTGTATTTATTTTTACAGAAAACTCAGAAAGATAAATGAAAACTGTGGAAGGGATGAATCTGGAGCAGAGTTTTCTAAAACCTAAGCTTAAGGGATAGAAGTTTACATAAATTTTAAAAAGTGAGAAAGTAAGCAAGCAGAGATCATGTATGGAAGTGCATTCACTCCTTCTCTGATTAAGTGTGGGGAAGAAAATAATTTCTTTGGGGAAGAAAATAATGCTAGGACTTCTGAAATAGTGGAGTAGAGAGTCATTGGATCATCTCCAACAATATAAACATAGAACTGGTCAAAATCATGAACAAAACAATTATTTCAAATGTCTGGAAAGACATATTCAAAAAAATAAATATTCATTTGAATAAACTTACTAAATATTGTAAACCAAATGAGAGTCTGTGACATGTGTGCCACAACCTGCTCTGACCAGGTGTATTTAAGAAAATGGAACTCTACCTTCCTCAGTTTATAACCTGAGTGTAATGGTTAATTTGAATTGTCAACTTGATTGAATTAAGAGATGCAGAAGAGTCAGAGCTACTGGGTCTGTCAAGGAGGGTTGGAATGATTGGCATGTGGATTAGGGAATTAAAGTGGAACCTCCCTAAGGTTGAGCAGCACCATCCAATAGGTTGGAGACTTGGATGGAATAAAAGTGGAAGAACAAAGAAGTAACAGCAACTGCAAGCTTGATTGTTCTTGAA